AAAAAGCGAATTGGTGTCGACTTAATTAGCACAGTTCACAAAGTTAATTGAAATACATATATACATATTATATATATATGACTATTACCAATAGCTAGTTGGCTACTCGGTCGACCTTCAGACTAGCCCAAAAAGCCAACAGCAAACGGGTTAAGCCAACAGACAATCATCGTAAGAGCTGCGACACACACAACAGCATAATCACAACAACAAATAAAGCAAGGTAACAACAGTTAGACAACATGGAGCTGATGGAGCTCATGGTGCGCACCTTGGGGCTGTTGTCTTTAATGGGCGTGGCCAAGGGCGCCATCAACCAGAGCAACACAGCGTCGCAACTCCAATGGCAACTGCAGCAACAACAACTGCAGCAGCAACAGCAGCAACAACAACAACAACAGAAATTAAAGTTTTCTATCGATTTCCCATCAATCGTCGACGATTTCTATGAGCCGCATCTAACACGCACTTCGGTCATCTTTGGCCTGACCAAAGTTGTCAATGCCAGCCAGGTGAATGCTCAGTGCAAGGCGCACTTGAGGCAGGTGCAACGGGGCATACTCAGCAAGCAGCCATGGGCTATGAAAGGTGAGTGATTGACTGATTGATGAGGTGATAGATTGATAGCTGCGATGCACTTAAGAAGAGTAGAGAAAGTAGGAAAGGTAGTACACATAGAGTTGGAGAGATAGTAGAAATAGAGCTATGCAAGCTGATTGATTGATTGATTGACTGAGTGATTGATTAATGTTGAGTTCAGACTTATGATTAGAGATGGCTAGCAACAACCGGACTTCTTAGTCCGTAAATGAAAGCGCATCAGCTGATTGAGTGAATGATTGATGGACTGACTGAGTGCTAGACTGACTGACTGACTGACTGACTAAATGATTGATAAACTGGCAGACTAATTTATTGTTGATGATGATGGAACTGGGAACGTTGATCTTCACATAGAGAAATGACTAATTCACTGATTCCCTGATTGATTGATACCCTGACAGATTGATTAAGTTGTGAAACTGAACAATTAAAAATATACTTTATTTGATTATTGATTGATTTATTAACCAGGTGATTGAAGATGAAGGATGATTTACTGACTGACTACTGATAAAAAAAAATGTACTGAAAATAAAAACACAAAAACTGTTAGAAAGCTGTCTATGGAGAATGTGGATAATCAATAACTGTTATTTTGAGAAGCCTTTAGCTCGTTGGCGTGAATGTTTACCCTTCAGTGCACTTGTCTACAAAAAAACTCGTTTGCATCTAAATTATGCTAAATTATTATAAAAGTAAAGCTCTAAGCATCCGCAACGGCAATGCAAACACTCGAGAACAGTTGACTTGTTGTCAATTAGCATCAGAAAACAAAACTTCTTGGCAAATATACAATCACTTGATTTATTTAAATAGATGGACAGTCCAGACTCATTGAGTCATAAATACCCGACAAGGTAATATGATGCCAGCAAGCGTATTATCCCGGCTTTGAAATGGGATTTACCTTTTACGAAGCTGTAAATAGAAATTTGGGAAAAACTTTAATGGAATATGAAGAGTTGAGAATGGAATTATTAAGATGTAAAACAAAGCCAGATTTGAGAGTTCTTAATGAAAAGATAGCGAGTGGGAGGATGAGCTGACTGGGGATTTGAACTACTCAATTGAAGAAATGATCTAACTAAAGTCTTAGTCGCCTAAGGCTTAAGGCCAACTTCCATGCTAAGTGCTCTAAAGTTTACTAGCTCTAAATTTAACTGCCAAACGAGCCAAGTTCTAGCTCTACATCTGTTTTGGTAAGGGAAAGCACCCAAGAGTTGATCAGTTGATCTATTAGCTGACGCTGAAAGATGATTTTTAAGTTGAACCGGGGACTGAATAAGGAACTTTTAGAGAAACAAAAGTTAATTACGAATATTGATTATGAACTCAATTATTAGTTTTATCACTAAATCTTTACTAAAATTCCACAAAATTCCGTCTCTTTGCAGTGCTCGACGCCTCCGGCACAAAGCCTTCGGGTTTTGTTTACGGCCAGAACTATTGGCTGGGCAGCCGGGAGGCGTGCAAGGGTGTGCAGCGGCCGGTGGGCATTACGTTGTCCAAGAACTTCGATCGGGTGATGCACCAGGGACTGATCACGCAGCTGGCGCCCTTCGACATGGACTATCGAGTCCTCTATTTGCGCCACAATTCGCCTTGGCAGGTGGAGATCAAGCTGATGTCCGAGCAGATCATACACATTGGCCTGTGCCTGCCCAGCTCGTGCTCCTCGAGCGAGGTGCAGCACCTGGCCGCCGAGTATGTGGGCCGTGGAATGTTTGCGGAGAGCGACATCTACGACATACGGCCGGAGGTGCTCTACATGAAGGATCTGCAGTTGAGCGATTCGTTCTATCAGCGGACCAGCTTTCGCCTGCTCGTCTCCTGTGTCCTAATCACCGGCGCTCTGATGCTCTGCGCCCAGCAGCTGCTGGCGGTGAAGAAGCTGCCTAGCTCTGGCGAGGATCTGGGTCTGGCTCCTGCTGAATCTGAGCTATGGCGCGCCCTTCACTCCCTGCTGCGCCTGCAGAGGCTGCGACAGCTCGTGAGCTGCTACGATGTGTCCGCCAACTGGAGCAGGATATTTGCCATACGTGAGTCCACACCGCAGGAGATACCCATCATGAATGGCTTGCGCTCTGTGTGCGCCATCTGGATCATGATCTTCCATGTGGTGTGGTTCATGTACTTCACGGTGCACAACAAGATCGTGCTCATCTCCTATGCGGAACAGGCATTCTTCCAGTACGTCTCCTCGGCTCCACTGCTGGTGGATGTCTTCTTTACCATCAGGTAGCAGCTGAACTAGTTCCCTTAACTGGAATCCTTGCTCATCCCACTTCTAATCTTTTCAGTGGCTTTCTGCAAACCTATAATTTTCTGCGCAACTCCGCGCAGCTGGAGGCAGTGCGTCAGAATGGCTGGCAGCAAAACCTGAAGCTCTTTGGCAAGCTGCTCTTCCACAGATACCTACGCCTGGGTCCACTCTACCTGGTGGTCATGGCCTTGGTGGATCTCGTTTACGCCTACATTGGCGACACCTCGGTCTATCACATCAACGAGCGCTTCGACGAGATGTGCTCCAGCCACTGGTGGCGCAATCTGCTCTTCATCCAGAATCTCTTCGATCATCGCGATATGTGCGCCAATTGGAGCTGGTCGCTGGCCTGCGAGATGCAGTTCTTCGTCTTGGCCAATGTGTTGCTCTTTCTGTATGCCAAGTAAGTTGGTGATAAACTCCGTGATTGATTGATTGATTGACTGAGAGATTCATCAATCTAACAGTTTGAATTAGTAGGGAATTTTTTAGTCTCCAAGTGAGCATCTATACAAACGTTATTGACTGACTAATTGATTGACTGATTGATTGATTGACTGACTGACAGATGTACATAGCTACTCTGGTCAATATTCTCACAAATTTTTGAATAAGAATCTTTACGGAAGGCAAATATTCTTTTCCCAATTGATTGATTTGGTGACTGATTGAATGATTGATTGTCTGATTGTTGATCACACCATTTTACTAATTGATGTACTTCAATTATAAAAGAGCAGTATTCTCAATAACCTCATTCATATCATAATAATCTATACCATCTACATTCCACTACCTTTGCAGGCATCCCAGGCTTACCAAGACCCTGGTCGCTACGGCGCTTCTGTCCACCATAGCCTGGACTTATGGCATTGGTGTGCGCATCAAGTTTCAGTTGTCGTTCGATGCTGCCTTTGCCACGGGCACAGAGATCTACACATCTCCCTTTGTGCGGGTGCTGCCCTATATATTGGGTGCCATCACAGCCTGGTCGCTGCTGGAGCTGCGTCCACAGCTGATGATGGGCGAACTGCGTGAGCGTTGTTCCTGGCACCTGGCGCTGCTCGTCTTCTTCGCCTGCATCTATTCCACAATTCGCAGGGATTTGGGTCCACTGTTGGCCATATCGCTGTTCGTGCTGGGTCGGCTCTCCTTCTCGCTGAGCGTTTGCTGGATGATTGTAGGCAGCGCTCAGGGCAGAGGCGTCTGGTGGTCGCGCCTGCTGGAGGCCAAAGGCTTTCAGCATCTCAGTCGTCTCTCCTATGCCATCTATCTGCTCAATCCTCTAGTGATTGCCTTTTTCTATAGCTTAACAAATGCTAGCACCCATGCAGATCCCTTTATGCTGGTGAGTAATAAGGATCCCAAATTTTATTTGATATTTTTAAATATATGCAATGTTTATTTTCCAGTGCGTTGTTACCTGTGGCTTTGCTGTCATCGTTTATTTGACCTCCATACTCTTTTCGTTGGCCTTCGAGTTGCCGTACAGCAATTTGTCCAGCATTTTGCTGAGGCGCAGTCAAAAATGCCTGAAAGATGCCTAATTATAAAAATTTTTTTTTATATATGCATATGTATATATTGACCGCCTACATATTTCAATTGTGATCGCTTCCATGTACAACTCATTTAGCGTGTATTTTAGGTTTAATAAATCTGTAAATAACTTTAAAATAATAAATAAAATATAAAAACAGCCAAATTGTCTTTGTACACAATTCAAATGCCCGCGCGCAATAACAGCTGTTTAGTATTATTTGTATATTTGGTATTTTGCCACGACCAAATATTGTGGAATATTTATATTAATCAATTATTTAAAAATCACATGTTGTTTATTATTTCAGCCATACATTTCTTCCTTATTTTTGAAAATTAAGCGATTGGCATTTTTAACACTTTTTGGCACTTGAAACACTTTTTGGCATTTTTTAGTAACATATGCAATGTACATCAAGTTAAGCCATTAACATTTTATAATTGGTATTTTTAACAGAAATACATAATGCTAACAGAGGTCAGCTAGGCAAGCGAATTTTGCTTAACAATTGTCTGAAGCCGACAAATTGTTTATTATTAGTTCAAGAAATGTTTATTATAATACATACAATTTAATAACAAAAGAAACTGTTCACTTCAGTAGCTACATCAACATAATTTAAATTGAACAGCCTGCCTATCGATGTATCGATAGTTCACGGACTGACCCTTAATATTGGAAAGCGCGTGCGTATCGGCTTATTCTCTTGTTTTCGCTCTCAGCTCAGCCTCTCACGCGTCTTCCGTTTGGCAATAAACTGTTTAAATTTGAGAATATATGAGTGTGTATGTTTGTGTGCATAGGAAGCGCCCAAGTCAGTGGTACGCCGGCAGCTCTAAGAGAAGGTAACGCGCGATTCGAGCGCGTATAAAAGAGTTGCAAAGTTGAAGCGCGTGCGCCACAAAACGAAAAAAAGGACGCTTTGCTGTGTGCAATAACATTGAGAAAAGTTCGCGGAATGCATTTGTTGAATTGCAATTAGCATAAATTATAAGAAAATTGTGTAAACAAATATGCCAATGAAATACGTTTGTACAGTGACAAAGTAAATGAAATAGTGCTGCAAAAATATCGGATCGGAATCGTTATAATCGATATTTTCGAATTTTGGCAAAAGATCGATATGGTTTTCTTAGTATCGATATATCGAAAAAATGGTTATTCTTGGCGTTGGTTTTAACTGTGTAAGAAGCGCATTTATTTAATTTTGCTAAATTGTATACAAATTGATTGATTTAATTTAATTGCAATAGAAAGAAAAAAAATTGATCAGTTTTTGGGAAGAAAACGTAAGTACAATTGATATATCCTATTGGAAAAGCTTGGAATCATAGCTTGTGTGTTTTAGGCGCGGCGAGGGTGGACTCCGATGAAGAAAATAAGACCGTGGGAGCCCCAAAAAANATTATTATAATATAATTTTAAGGAGCATAGTGAATTTGAGCTTTAATGAATTGCTGTTTTAGGTTTAAGTTAATGAAAAATAATTTGTTATACGACTTTGTTCGGTTGAATAAATTTGTTTTTGTTTGATGCTGTTGCTTTTATTTTAATCTTGAAATGGTTGCCATTTTATCCATTAAGAAGTCATAATTAATATAAATATTATAATAGGTTCTAAGCAAGAAAATTAACATTTAAAAGAAGTGTTCGATATATCGTTTTTATCGATCTTTTTCTCTGAAAATATCGTGAATATCGATATTACGGAATATCGATTTTTTTGCAGCACTAAAATGAAAGCGACAAAAGGAAATGTGAAAAATTTCCATTGGCCCGAGCCGAAGCGACGCTCAGCATCAGCATCAAACGAAGCATCCTTGTGAGTGCCTCTCAGTGTGTATTTGCATGTGTGTGTGTGTATGCGTTTGTAAGTCCGTGCTTCACTCTCACAGTAGCCACAGGCAATATGAATATGAAATATTTATATACATACATATGTATGTTAAATATCCAATCAGCAAGTTTGACAAAGTGCAATGTGTTTGAAACAATTATAAAAATAATAGGTTTTTTGAATTATGGCAAAAGCTAATTAATTATAATTATATTTGATCTATTATACGCTGTCAAATACAAAGTGATTATATCAATTCAAAATGTAACAAAAATAACAAACAACAAAAGCGCATTGACTGGCTGATACCGTGTAATGCACTGGCAAAACGAAAGGGTATTTTGACTTTGTCATTCATTTTGTAACAAATGCAACATATTTAGCCCCGTAACTAGAGCAATAATCTAGTAATTTATGTTTTACTATAGTTTAATTTTGAGTGCATATCTAGTTGCGTTCGCTCATATTTTTTATAGTTAAGCAACGCCCATTTAACCAACAGTTAATATACAATTTCAAAAGCCTCAAATCACAATAAAATATAATTGCGAATTTAATTTTAGCAAGTTGCCCTGTCCGCAGGGTATTCACCCGGCGACTTGCCTTTTGTTCTGTTGTGGCCTTTCAATTCCTTTCTTATCCACAACGCCTACAAAGGCCATTCCAATATTCCATCCTTGCCTCAATGTGCAATTGTGTGTGTGAGCACGAGCGCGACCGTTTACTTAATGTACAAATAAAAGAGCCAAAGCAATGACAGACAGAGCGCTAACGGTTAAAAACCTCTGTCAAGTACTGCATATAAATTATATATTTAATTACGCGTGAAAATGATGTTCATATTCGTGATTCCAGACATCTACACTTACAAATATACATATACGTGTACGTGTATGAATGTGTGAATACTCAGCTCTTACCATTCTATATTTGTGAACTTCTCTGCCACCTGCCAGTGGCGACGCCAACACCGCCCGGCGTAGGTGTCGTCGCTGCTTATCAGCAACGTAAGCATCATTGAGCAATTGTTGTGCCCACTGTAGCTCTCTCCCTCTCTCTCTCCTCTTACACATGTTCGCTGTCTGTCTTATGCGAAAAAAATAAAGCAAAGATGAGCTAAAAATAAGCTAAGGCGAAGTGCATTTTCGATTAAATGCTCTGGAAGTAGAGCAGCAACAAGCTAGCCGAACGAAAAAAAAAATAGCTAAATGTTACTTAAATACTCTAAAGACTGCTGCCAACTGGAATAACACAAAACTGACTGACAGCACTGGCATCTTTCCATGTTCTGGTCTCGCTTTGGCTGCCGCGATTCCTTCTTGCTGCTCAATTGGTTTTATGTGTGCAATTTTATTGGCGTCTCTCCTTCTGCGACTGAAGTTTGGCAGAGCTTTGCATGTCGCGGCGCGACGCGCCTTGTGGGTCTGACCTTGAACAAGTTCAGCTGCACAGGCACTGGCGGCGGCGTCGTTGTCGCTGGCGCTGTTGTTGTTGCTGTTGTTATTGCTGCTGCCGAAGCCTTGGCCTTGTGAATTTACTTAGCACACACATACATACATACATACTTATGTATAAGCTAATAAGTTTTATATCTATATACATACATATGTATATATTTATATTTATGTGCAAATGTGCTGTATGTCTATATATGTTTATATGTATTTACTTGGCAAACACATACGTATTTGTTATTAATATTTTTAGTAGCGCAACTGCTGCTGACGACGCTTTCTCCCATCACGTGCTCATATGCTGTGTTCCAGCAGCTTCCGTTAGCACGCGCTCGCTCACTCTCTCTCTCTCTCCCTTTCATTAATTTTCGGCTTTGCTGTTACTTCGCTGAAGTTGGGCGCGCTGATTGCCTTCACTGTCCCCTCTCTCGCTCTCTTCATTGCATTGTTTCTGTTTCATTATTCATTTTTATACTCTCATGTGTATGAGCATGTGTGTGTGTGTGTGTGTGCAACTGCCTAATTTGTTTATTTGCATTGAGGTTGCTGAGAACATATCAAAGCAAAATTATTCGCTGATATCTGTGCGTACATTGAACTCTAAGCCCGCTGTGATTAGCTGCTTGTGACGTCACAAACAGTCGCACAATTGTTTTCGTTACGTTTTCTTTTCGCATGTGATCGAAACGGCAATAACTTTCTGCTGTTGTAGTTGAAATGATTCATTTCAGTTGTGTATTTTTGATTGTTTTTTTTTTTTTTTTATTTTTTTTTATTTTATTTTTTTTTTTGGCTGCCAATCAGTAGCAGCAATGCCTCTTGCTCATTCTCCCTCTCTGTTTCTTTAATGGCAATTTTGAAACAAAACGAAATACACGTTTACTGCCAATTAAATATTCATATAATCTTTAGTAAAACAACACTTAATGTAGCTTAAAGTTAGTAATAGTTAACTACGAAATGTTGACAATGTCAGATAATAATAGAACGTTAAGTTGTCCACTTTTGTGGTACCCTTAAATACCTTAACAGTACCATGAGCTTTATCGCACACTTATAAATAAGTTCAGACAATAGCTAAGTAGTTAACCGTGTCGCTTCACTTATCATATCATATGGAAAATAATATTATATATGTCTGAAACTAAGCTATAGTGTCAAATCCGAATTTGTGTCTATTAAAGGGTATATGTTGGTGACCATAGACCGGCTGTCTGTTTCTCGATTCTCACATGCTTATCATTGTTTGAGGTTGCCTTCATAAAAGTCACTAGTAAATATATTTAATGAACTAGCTAATGCACTTCAAGCATTTCACGCCTACAATTTTATGGCTTGTTTAATCTAAAAGCTTCAACAAATATGTACACAAATGATTCCAGGCGCTAGCAAATACAATATATATTCTTTGTTTACAAATGGGCTACTACTTCAGAATAATCGTAATGGTTTTTCCAATTTATTCACAACGACATTCAAATATACAAGAATTTAGTCTTTAAAATTGAGTAGGAAGGAGTTAAATATGAGGGTAAAAAATATATATTATAGTAAGGTATATATTGTATATTAAGTTAGTACATATTACTTTGAGCCATATCTATAATGTTAGTCTATCAGGACTTTCTAGTCGAGATATCCTATAAAAATGTGCTAAAATAAGGATCGTATCTACACACATATGTATGTTTATTATGTACCCAAGCAACAATTAGAGGGAAACGCTATGCAAAAAGTATTTTATAGAGTATCTACTAACCGACTATTGCTTACAAGCTTACATATTTATTCATTTTTATTTGCTTAATAAAGCCAAGTGAGAATTTATGTGGAATGGAAAGCACATACAAATATTCTGTTTATGATAAGTAAAAATTACTTCATTTAATGCTGATATACCATTCTAATATCCATAAGTACTTGCATAAATATATATATATACAATATATCGGTTTTCTCTAGAATATAATTTCTGGAGAATTATAATGCAGCAGGAATCTGCATATCACCAAGAACATTGTTCGCCTTGGGATTTAAAAGCGAGCTGTTGACTCAACATTTTCATTCCCACTCTCCCTCTCTCTTTCACTCTTACTATATATGTATGTACTTCAAGACTTTATTTTGGATTCTCAAATGCCTGCATGTTCTTCTTACATACATATATTCTCTTTGTCTGCCTTTATGAATATACAAAACACCCAAATAAGAAACATAAGAGCTTTGCCACGCCTTCAATTTGAACCAGCGCCTCTTATTGAGCGTGCGTGCCTGCCATTCGTTTGGGCCGAGCAGTCAAAATGACGCTAACGTTGGCAGAACAGCTATACGGTCGTCGTGGTGGCGTCTGGGGGGTGTGGGGGTGATGTGGGGGCTACAACTGGTCATTGGCCCATTTTCTTGTGAGCCGCGACAGCCGTGAAAATGTAAACAAAATGCGCGTAATTAAAATTTCATACGCGATGAAAAAGGACAAGGAAATATTAAGCATAAATAATTGAGAGGCAACCTGGGTGTGCCCATTTGCATGCTATAAACACATAGACATATATAGATATATATATATACATATATACATGTATATATATCTGGATTTATATATCTAATACTCTTTGTTAGCTGTTGACAATTTTTAATTGGCAATTTGCGCCAACGTTTGCCCGTCAATCAAGCTGAAAGCATTTTTTTCTCTATTGCTGACTGAGCTCCTTTTTGCCACTCAAGCGCTGTCTCACTCACTCTCAGTGTCGCTATCTCTATTCCCTTATCTTCTAGCCATCTTGTGCGCTCATTGAACATAGTTTCAAGTGACTCCAAGATGGTTTTTGCAGTTGATGAATGCTCCTGACAGCTGACGGATAGCTGCTGCTGTCATGCCCCAACTGCAGTACATATATAAATATGTACTTATGTATGTATCCACTATTTACAGTTGTGGGCATGTTCAGTAGTTCAGTAGTTCAGCATTATTCATTAAAATAAAATAGCTATAGTCATGAATGTAGCTTTATAAATATTTTGGATTCAGCTTAAGTTTTTACAGGGTATCTGCAAGTCAACCTAGCTTTAAAAAGGGAGAGAAAAATTATTTAAGAGCACTTTTTATGCCAATACCGCTGCCTACAGGATATCTGCTAGTCTAGCATAGTCAACTCTTGCCCTTTGGTTGCTCTTTCTGCTTCTTCGTCTCCTTCTGCTTCATGTTTTCTCTTGTGCCTTATCTGCATCCTCTTGTGCCATGCGATATGGGCATGTGGCAGGAAGCTGCAGGCTGCCACATAAATGAACGCAGCTCTATGACGCACAGTTAATTACGCATGCTTGTGTGTGTTTGTGTGTGTGTGTGTGACACAACGAAACGCTGGCAGATTGTTTCCTACATCTTTAACAAATTTGCGGGCTATGCAACCTATTGCGCCCACACAACTGCAGATGCAGCTACAGATACGATGAGCAAAAGATGCAGATACAGATACACATACAGCTACAGTTGTAGCGACAGCCATAGATATAGATACAAATGCGACTAGTTGACACATCCGGCTGACTGTCTGGCCGGGCGGGATTATTATTTCGCATTTGTTGTTTGTGTGGCAAAGCATTTAAAAAACTGTCGCACCACAATCAACACGCGACACAGCAAACCGCAAACGGAGCAAATGGAGATCGAGTGGCTGAGCGTGGGGTGAGCGACGTTGCTGTTGCATGTTGCATGTGGTAATTGCGGCTTGTTAACAAGAAGAAAACTGAGAAGTTGCAAGAAGCAACTACAACAACAAACGTCAAATAAGAGTAGCTGTCATAACACGCCCCTATTGGTTGAGGCAGTTGTGCAACTCCTCCGGAAATGTCTCTCAGATGTGGAACAAGCTGAGATTTGTTGCAGTGAGTCAATAGAATATATATGTCTTAATAATGTACTTAGAGTAGGTAATGCTCTCTACAAACAGAATTACTCGATTATTGTATGAGAAGCAAAAAATAAATGCAGAAATTTAAGCAGAAATGTTACCCATAAAAAATAAAAAAAAAAACAAAAAAAAATCCATGTACAACTTCTCAAAACTAGGTTACCCATGTCGCAAACTTCATTGCTTCCCGCCCTATAACATTTGGAGCTAGCTGAAAATGTTCATATGAGCCTGAAAGTCGAGCTGAACACATACAATCAAAAAAAAAAAAAAAAAAAAAAAATAAACCCATTTTGGTGTAAACAATAGTCAAAAATAAAAAACACAACATATTCAGTTAACAACATTGAAAACATGTCATCTGGTTCATCAAACATCGATCCCATTGAACTGGACGATCCGCAGATGCCCCTCGCGGACGATCCCTCCAACGAGGAGCGTCGTCCGTCCTTACGGCGACGACGACGTGGCGGACCCGAATACGTGCGTCCCCAGATTGAAGTGGTGCGTCGCAATGCCCAGCAGATATACCATCGGCGTCGCCCGATTACACGGCAACGTTCGAGTAGCCAGCAAACGGAGTCGACTTCACGGCCCATTCATGTGGTTGGACCAGGCGGACAGGTCACTGTTCTGCTGCGACTGATGTCACAGCATCCCGGCCAGCGGGAGGTGGAGATGGGCACCACAATACGCATGACCATCGACATGCCGGACACTCCCCCGTCCATGATGGGTTTGCATACTATACGGGGCTTGAATGCGACCATTAGGAGAAATCCGTCCTCTGCAGGTCAGCCTCGGGCGCAGCCTCGATCCCAAGGCTTACAGCAGCCATTGCAAAGGGAAATGGGTGTGCCAGCACCACAGCCTTACCGGCAATCTCTGCCAGAGTCTCAATACCTGATGGAGTCCCAAAATCAGATGGCCCGTCAGTGTCGGCTGCCTCGGCGGGAAGGGCCACCCGTACCAGTGATGCCGCCACAGCTGGACCAGATTTTCCCACTTTCCTTGAGGCGGCCAGAACCAGCGTCTGAACTAGGTCCACAGCCAGGGACAGAACCACCATCAGAGCCAGAGGTGGAGCTACCAGTGCAAGAGCCGTCGGCTGATCCACAGCCTGAAGTGGGACCACAACCTTCCTCAGGGCCACAGCCTCAGCTCAGTCGTCGACCTTCATTACAGTCTCAGACTCAAGATCTAGACCCTAATCCTCAGACCCCTTCTTCACAATAAGACTCGCGAAGTGGAAGGGAATTGCAGTGCATGATTTAAATACTTCCCAAAAAAATTAATAATGCTACAAAATAAATACAAAATACTTTTAAGCGGTTTAATTATTAAAAAAATAATTGAACAATAGAATTTGGGTTTGTTTTAAGCTTAGATATAAATGAATTTCGAGAACTTGGAATGCTGCGAAATGATAATGGGAGAGAATTCTCTCTATCTCACATTCAGACTCAGAACAGACTGACTATAATATTTTTGCGATTCGATATACTTATTCGATATACAGATTCATAAATTTACAAGTTTTAGATATATGTATATATATTTAGTAAATATCTTCCGTTTTTTTGACCTTTTTCACTGGTTTTCGTTTTCACGTTTTATTAGAGCTCTCCAAATGGCAATAGCCAACTGAATGCCGATAAAAACAAGCTCTCGYCTGTCTGTCTGTCTGCGTGTTTGTCTGGCCTTTAGTCAGCTAGGTGCTAAACACATTTCCAGCCAGAATTTATAACAATTACACTGGCATACACAGACACACACACACACATGTACACGCACATATCACCTGAGCAGCACATCATATGAAAATGTTATTGAGAAAAATAACATGAAAATGCTCGCACAGTTGTTTACCCTGCCATTCAAGCCAAGTGGCAGAGGCTGTCAGGCATTCAAAGCGTTTTTGGACAGCAGCCAAGTTATTTAGCCAACCTGCTGCCGCCATCGAGTGAAAGCCAAAAGCGTCGCCGGCAGAGAGGGGGAGGTGGGAGTGGCTGACGCTGGCGCTGGTCCTACATTGTGTGTCTGCTGCAAATCAAAGCCTCAATAAACAATACGCGACAGCAACAACAACAACAAAAACAGCAGCAAGTTGGCCCCAAAAACTGCAGCGATATAATCTAACCTTCGACTTGAATGAAAGCAAAAAGTAGAAAAAAAACACATTTGCCTTTTCCTCTTAGCAAGTGCAAAAATGCAAAAACTTACAAAAAAAAAAAAAAAAACATGAAGAGTTTGAAATTCCAATGTCTGGCGACTGGCAGGCAGCCCAAATACCCTGCACACTCCAGTCTAGTCTAGCGGCAGACTTTGAGGTCCGCTGTCTGGCCCCTTGTTTGTCGTCTTACTCGAGCCCTTACTCTTTTACTGCTGTTATCATGCAGCCTAGCCATTCGTATATGTGCATTGGAATGTGGCATGGTGATTCATGGCTACAGCGCCTTACATTAATTTAGCAACACTTGAGCTGGCCAAACTTTCAAACGAGGCCAATCGATTGCCAATATACTAAAGCAGAGATTGTTGGGAATCTAGTGTAACTAGATATAGATATAGATATAGATATAGATATAGATATAGATATAGATATAGATATAGATATAGATATAGATATAGATATAGATATAGATATAGATATAGATATAGATATAGATATAGATATAGATATAGATATAGATATAGATATAGATATAGATATAGATATAGATATAGATATAGATATAGATATAGATATAGATATAGATATAGATATAGATATAGATATAGATATAGATATAGATATAGATATAGATATAGATATAGATATAGATATAGATATAGATATAGATATAGATATAGATATAGATATAGATGT